TCATTTTATTAAATATTTGTTCCTAAGAGTTGAGATATTGCCAACAACTCCACAGACTATAGAGAGCTTATAAAAAAGTCTATCTTGACTTTCAACAAACATTTATGGAATGGCTGTTATGCACCAGGCACTGGGGAAAAGCACCCGACCAAACTTTCCCCTTCTGTTTTTCACTGTTTATCACTCTCTTTTTATACTAGAAGTAAGATCTAAAGAGCCCTTCTGTCAGATTTTTAAATTCATTTACTTGCAAGTTACATTTTTAAAAAATGGCCTTTGAGATGGCTAAAAATAGTTTTAATTCTAGTGATATATATAAAGTGCTTATTGTTATGACACTTAAATAACAATTTGTGATGTACCTAAATAAAGCTCTTTACTGTTGTAAAATATCCATAAAATTTAGCATAAGTGACATTTAGTGCCTTCACCATATGGTGTAGCCATCACCACTAATTAGTTCCAGAATGTTTTCATCACCTGGAAACGCCTTACTTACTAAGTGGTCATTCCTCACTGCCTCTTCCTCCCAGTTGTTCAGCACCATTTGTTGAAGAAACAATTCTTTTTCTGTTGAATGGTCTTGGCATCCTTGTTGGAAATCAATTTACTATAGTGCATTTTTGGATTTTCTATTGTATGCTATTGGCCTATATGTTTATTCTTAACATCAGCACCACACTGTTTTGATTACTGTAGCTTTGTAACAAATTTTGAAATTGGAAAATGTGACTCTTCCAACTTTGCTCTTTTTCAAGATTGTTTTGGCTCTTTTGGATCCCTTCAGTTTCATATGAATTTTAGGATCAGCTTTTCCAGCATCTGCAAAAAAAAGAAAAAAGGGCTATTAGATTTTTGATAGCGATTGCACTGAATCTATAGACCAACGTGGGGAGTATTGCCATCTTAACATTATTGGCTCACGAACATGGGGTGTCTTTACATTTATTTAGGTCTTCTTTACTTTTGTTCAGCAAGGTTTGGTTCTTTTTGGTGTACAACACTTATACCTCCTTGGATGAATTTATTCCCAAGTATTTTGTGTTTTTTTTGATGCTATTGTAAATAAAATTGTTTTTTTTTCAGATTGTTTTGGTTAGTGTATAGAAATCAACTGACATTTGTGTGCTGATTTTCATATTGTAACATTACTGAATTTATTAGCCCTAGTAGTTTTCTTTTTTTATATAGACTCTTGAGGATTTTTAATATACAGGGTCATATCAGCTGCCAATTGTTTTCTTTCTTTCTTTGTAATTGGGATTTCCTTTCTTTTTCTTGCCTAATTGCTCTTGTAGAACTTCTGGTAAAATGTTGCATTACGGTGTTGTAAGTGAGCATTTTCCTGATCTTAGAGGGAAAGCTTTCAATCTTTTACCATTTAGTGTATGGTTGGCTGTGGGTTTTTCATGAATGCCTTTTAACAGGTTGAGAAAATTCCATTCTCTTCCTGGTTTGCTGAGTGTTTTTTTACTATGAAAGGTTGTTAGGTTTTGTCAAATTCATTTTCTTATCTATTGAAATGTTATTTTTCTCTTTATTCTATTTTTAATAACAAAGAGCTTTATTTTCATGTAATTGTTCTAGATTCTTCTAGTTGTTGCTCCCTTCATTCTATTACTGTGGCATATTACACTGGTTGATTTTTGTTTGTTGAACCACTCCTGTACTCCTGAAATAAATTTTACTTTGTCTTGGTGTATAATCTTTGTATAGTTTTGGTATCAAGGTAATATTCGCCTTGTAGAATGAATTAGGAAGTGTTACCTCCTCTTTTTTTTTTGAGGGGGAAGAGTTTAAGAATTGGTGTCAATTCTTTAACTGTTTGATAGAATTCCTCCATGACCCCATCTGGTTCTGCACTTTCTTTGTTGGGAGATTTTTGATTATTGATTCAATCTCTTTACTTAGATTTTTAATTTCTTGAGTCAGTTTTGAGAATTTGCTTGTTTTTAGGAATCTGTCCATTGCATGTAGAGTAATTTGTAGGCAATAAAGTTTATTTTTAATGAATAAATATGTTATGGTTCAGTCATCCAAAATACTGTGCAATTTATCTAATATTTAAAACTTGAAATGTATGTCATATGTATGTCATGCTTTCTTACATTTACTTTTCTTAAGCAAAATGTATATAAAATTCCATAAGATATTTAAGCAAAATTTTTCCCCAATACTAAGAAACCAGAGTTTTTTCTTTTTTATTCTTTTTTCTCCCCTTTATTCCCCTCTACCCTGTACCTCACTCCCATCAGCATCCCCCCCACCAACCTTAGTTCATGTCCATGGGAGACACATATAAGTTCTTTGGCTTCTCCATTTCCTATACTATTCTTAACCTCCCTCTGTCCATTTTGTACCTACTATTTATGCTTCTTATTCCTTGTACATTTTTCCCCATTTTTCCTCCTCCCCCTCCCCACCGATAACCCTCCATGTGATCTCCATTTCTGTTCCTGTTCTAGTTGTTTGCTTAGTTTTTTTTTTTTTTTTAGGTTCAGCTGTTGATAGTTGGGAGTTTGTTCTCATTTTACTGTTCATATCTTTGATCATCCCCTATTTCTTAGGTAAGTCCCTTTAACATTTCACATACTAGGGGTTTGGTTAGATGAACCCCTTTAACTTTATCTGGGAAGCACTTTATCTGCCTTTCTGTTCTAAATGATAGCTTTGCTGGAGAGAGTAATCTTGGATATAGGTCCTTGCCTTCTATGACTTCACATATGTCTTTCCAGCCCCTTCTTACCTGCAAGGTTTCTTTTGAGAAATCAGCTGACAGTTTTATGGGAACTCTTTTGTAGGTAACTGTCTCTTTTTCTCTTGCTGCTTTTAAGATTCTCTCCTTATCTTTCATCTTAGGTAATGTGATTATGATGTGCCTTGGTGTGTTCCTCCTTGGGTCCAACCTCTTTGGGACTCTCTGAGCTCCCTGGACTTCCTGGAAGGCTCTTTCCTTTGCCAGATTGGGGAATTTCTCCTTCATTTGGTTTTTGAATAAGTTTTCAATTTCTTGGTCTTCCTCTTCTTTTTTTGGTCTCCCTATGATTTGGATGTTGGAACATTTAAAGTTTTCCCAGAGGTTCCTAAGCCTCTCTTCATTTTTTTGAATTCTTGTTTCTTCCTTCTGTTCCAGTTGGATGTTTATTTCTTCCTTTTGTTCTAAATCATTGATTTGAGTCCCGGTTTCCTTCCCTTCACTGTTGGATCCCTGTATATTTTTCTTTATTTCACTTTGCATAGCCTTCACTTCTTCCTCTATTTTGTGACCATACTCAACCATTTCTGTGAGCATCCTGATTATCAGTGTTTTAAACTCTGCATCTGATAGGTTGGCTATCTCTTCATCATTTAGTTCTATTTTTGGAGCTTTGATCTGTTCTTTCATTTGGGCCATTTTTTTTTGTCTTGGCATGACAGTTACATTGTAAGGGGGGGAGCCCAAAGCTTTCTGATATGAGTGTGACTGGCATAAATTTTACTTCTAAAAAGCATAAAGTTCATTTGTCTTTTGACTAAAATGAATGATTCTCCACATAAAATGAAATCTCTTTTTCTCCCTAGAAGCCAAAATGATGAGTGTTGACTCTTCAGTGAGACTGCCCACATTAAGACTCTGCTCTGCCACTTAATTGCTATGTAAAACCTTGGGGTTATCAATCTCTCTGTGCTCTAGTTTCCTTTCTGTAAAAAGAAAAATAGAACCTATCTCATAAAGTTGTTAGGGGATTAAGTAATTCATGCATGCAATAACTTGGTTCCTAGTTCATAATAAGCATTCAACATTACCAAATATTATTTTTCATAAGATGGTCATTAGTTGGGGTTAAAATAAAGAGTAATGAGACATCTCATAGGAGAGACTAATAGTAAAGTCAAGGCAGCAATGTTGGATGATGGATACAAGAAAGAGCCATATTTTCCCTCAGATTTATTAGACACTGGACTAGGAGAAGAAGGACTGTTTGGCAAATGTTCTATCGCTAGAAAAGAAATAGTTCTCTTTAGTAGTATCCAGGAGAGCAGGTTCCACCGACTACACAATTGCATCAGAGAGGCCCTTTAGTGAGAGAAAATCGCCTCCAAGGAACTGATGATGTACTGACATGTTTCTGCTTTTGAGAGAAAATCAGAGGACTGTTCTCATGAATCACATACTTGTTAGTGTCTCTGGACTAGAAGAAGAAGAGTTGTCCTGGGCTACACATTAAATACACAAACTCTAACAAAAATTGATGAGCAAAAAAAGTGTCCATGCATAATTTGTGTTTTGTGTTGGGTCGTATTCATAGCCATCCTGGGCCACATGCAGCCAATGATTGGACACCCCTGGAAAGAAAGGACTCTTCTTAGAGAGAGAAATTAGTCCCTTTAACATGAGTCTGGCTCCACTGTGGGCACTGTGGGCACAGACAGTGGATGCTAAGTGTTCAAAGGAATGATCACAAGTACTGCATTTTGCTGTGTATAATGTGCACTTTTTTTGCCCGTGTTTTTGAGGGAAAAATAAGGATGTGTATTATACATGTGCAGTGCTAATTCTGTATCTATGTAAATGTTTTAATTCTTTTACTTATGCTTATGCATTAAAAGTGTAACTCTAGAAAGCAATAATGATATCTGTATGCAAAATAATACCCTGGAATATAATAATGGGTATTGTTTCTAAATATAAATAAATAATTGAATTACAAAACATTTTTTTCCCTGAAAGTTTGGGCCAAAAACATGGTGTGCACTGCACACGGCAGAATATGGTACATGTCCAAGTACCTCCTTTAAAATCACAGGTCTACTACGCCTCCAAGGAACTGATGATGTACTGACATGTTTCTGCTTTTGAAAGTTTGTTTTGTTCCTTATACCTTTTCCTCTCCTCTCCCTTCCCCTAAATACATAAACACACTCCAGCTGATCCCTTCGAGTCAGGGAAATAATTGAATTCAAATCCATAGTAAATATGTTTGTCACTATCACTATTATTTTCTTAGCAACCACACAAATAAAATAACTACAGGTTTTATTTAGGGGAACAGAAGTACTCGTTTTCTTGGTTTTCAAGGTAGAAACAATATAGAAACATTTCATGGACATTCAAAATTAGTTAAAAAAAAGTTTGTTTTAATTTTTAAAGAAAGCAACTAAAATAAAGGCTACCCTGATATAAATTTCAAAAACACATTAACTATAACTTTGTATCTTAAAAGATGGGCATTTAGATTATACTCATTTTTATATTAAGATATAAATTAATGACTTATACCTTAAAGGATTTATCTTAAAATGTTACTGCCCAGTGCATTTTTGCAAACAATAAACAATTCACTGAGAGTATTAACATTCACAAATGTAATTAGAGTTTATAAATGTACAAAACATTGGGTAATAAACACTTTAAACTTATTTTCCAAACATTCAGTAAGCCTGTTCTCCCACACTGATTACGAAGAAGCGCGAAGGGTCACCAGTGGGCTGCACATGAGAAACCAGGCAGGGGGCGAACACAGATTTGAAAACCTCAGAGCATTCGACCAGTTTTGTCAGTATCAAACCACAAAATCAAAACATCTCTTATAAAAGAAAACAAATTCATGTAATTAAATACATGTTAGGTGAAAGAACATTACAGGGTATATAACATTTATTTTCCCTACATGAATTTGCACATCTTAATGCAAAACACCATGTTTCAATTCTAATTTGAGAATATCATAACACATTCTTCCTGGTGAATCTGGATGTAAAGGATGAATATTTAAATAAACCCCGATAATCACACCAAGTTTTTACTTGGTCATTATTGTTTTGACTCTTTAATGTTTTTCTTATTCACTGACTAACCCAATTTTAGAAATAAAATCTATAACCAAAGCCCATATAATACAGCTATTTCTGAAAAAACTAAATGGCATAGTACTTACTGTATCACTAAAGAGTGGCTGTGGTTAAACAAACGAGCAAACAAATGAATAAAAATTACTGTAATTCATGTATGGTAACGTTAGAAAGGATAATGTTACGAGTTTTATCTGGTGTGTTTTCACCGTAATAAAAGGAATCTTTGGATAAGGTGAGTAAGATGTGCTTGATGATTAAGAAATTATGAACTATGATGAAATTCCCAGTAACACAGGGCTGTGCTCAGGGGCAGTGTGTGTGTGCTCGCATTTGATGTGAGGAAGGGACAGGCTCACAGTCTACCAGCTGTGGTTCTGAGTTACTAAGACATGGAAGTATGTGATTCTGCTTCATCCTCTCTTGTTTTAAGATCTTCACTTTCAGATCAGGCACTTCGTGCCCAGGAATGTGGCACTGCAAATGTACTAAAAGTGTCTCCATTGACAGTAGGATAAATGTACTAAATTCATAAAAGAAGAGGATATCTTCATTTAGAAACCAAAGCACTGAATTATAATTTTACAGTCACAACGCAAGCCCCAGCTCTTCCAAGGCACAGTGGAGCAACCTGAAAAGAAACAAGAAGACATATATGTTGGATTTGTAGGTAAAAATGTTGATAACATTAACTAGACCAGTTAGTCAAACACTGAAATAGCCCATGCTTGTTGGCAGAGAGCTGCTGCCCCAGGCCTACTGCGCGCCTGGTCCCTTTCCCCAAGCCTTGCTCCTGATGTTAAACTTCCTTTTATTATTATCATTATTATTATTTATTATTATTATTACTTTTTATTGTTGTTCAAGAACAGTTGTCTCTGTTTTGACTCCACCACACCCCCCGCCCCACCCATCCCCTCCTTCCACCCTAGATCCTACCCCCTTTGGCTCTGTCCATGAGTCCTTTATGCAAGTTCCTGGCTGATCCTTCCCCTTATTTCTCCCATTATCCTTTTCCCCTTCCCCCTCTGGTTACCATCAGTTTGTTCTTTAATTCAATGGCTCTGGTTATATTTTGCTTGCTTGTTTGTTTTGTTGATTAGGTTCTACTTATCGGTGAGGCCATATGGTGTTTGTCTTTCACCACCTGGCTTATTTCACTTACATAATGCTCTCGAGTTCAAATTTTCATAGACACCTCATATCACATAATTATGTATTAGCCACTTCTCTTTAAGGGTGATTTTTTCTCTTTTATTAATTGAGATGTAATTGATGTACATTATATTAATTGTAGGTGTACAATATAATGATTCCATACTTATATATATATTTCGAAAAAGGTGTTTTTTTTAATAGTTCAGGAATTGTTCTACATGAAGCATGATGTTTTGGGCAAAATGATGTGCAATGTAGATGTGAGGAAATGCTGAAGGTTTAAAAGCAACTTTGTAAGCAATAGAGAGTATCAAGTATCATCTTGAGAGGCCCTGTGAGGGAAGTATGATCTCAGAGAGCATAACTGCGTGCCTGGGACCTGCTCCCTCCAGAGGGAACAGGAGCTTCCCACTCACTGACCGCCTTTTCTGCGCATAACTGAAAGGTCTAGCCCCACCCACTGCTTTTTAGCAGAGTAAATAAATAACAAACACAATCCAGTCAACTCTCCGGAGTGGAAACAAACCTCATGAATAAACTGTGATAGTGAGAGAGAAGTGTGGGGCGCTAAGTATAGGAAGATAAATGCATTATGGATAAGGAACAACTCTTTTTTTTTAAAAATATTTTATTTATTTTACTTTTAGAGAGGGGAAGGGAAGGAAGAAGAGAGAGAGAGCGAAACGTCAATGTGCGGTTGCTGGGGGTTATGGCCTGCAACCCAGGCATGTGCCCTGACTGGGAACCGAACCTGCAATGCCTGGTTTGCAGCCCAAGCTCAATCCACTGAGCTATACCAGCCAGGGCAGGAACAACTCTTAAATCTCTCACTTATTTTTCTTTTTTTAAAAAAGTGTACCCTAGACACTAGGCAATTAGTAGTGAAAATAAAAGTGTAGAAAGAATAGTTTTCAAAGAAGGACTACTTTGAGCATACTGACAATCTATGCATTTGACCTAAGAGAAATAAAACATTAGCATTTAGGAAAGAGTGATTGATATAAAGTATTAAGAAAGTCTGCTTTGTACTAATGAGAGGATTTTAAAAACATATCAGACTTCAGTTATAGAGAATCCTCAGTTATTCTCTATTTGAATCAGTTGTTTTGATCACTGCTCTATCTCCTTGAACAAATAATTGATTTTAACAACATTATCTACTTATAATATTCTAGGAGTGACCTCTACATCATTTAAATCAAAGAATCTGTTTGTAATTAGCAGCTTTTCTCAAAACACCCAATACACTAAGTCTCTACACTGTGAATAGTACATGTTGTCATGACAACCAGCTAGAAAGTTTAGCTTAGAGAATTTGTTAAATACGATGCAGGCACCCCCTGCTTTTGGTCAAGGCTGGTAGTGGAGTGGGTGGCAGCTTAAGACTTTGTAATCCCATTCCATTCCCTGTACAAATGTCCTCCCGTCCATTTGTTGGAACACAGAATGAAAATATTAATTTTGCAGATGTCATGGTTATAAGTTCTCATTTAGGTACATTTAAAATAGTAATAGAGGTAGCATGCACATAAAATAGCTATGTTATTAATTTTGATACAGAATGATTCAGCATAAAGTATTAATTATCTGTAACAATAAGTCTCAAATATTGGCCAATAGATTTCCTAATAACTGGCCTAAGGGCTTAAATCAAATACATCTCAGACAAAGAGATTCTTCTATCTCGTTTTGGGCTTCCCGGTTATCTGCCACGGTGGACAGCTGATAGGAGGGAATCCCATAATTTCTACTGAAGTCCTGTAGCTCTCACTCAGGCCTTCACTTCTTCTGTCCCTGACCCGACTTATCCTGTCCCCAACTGCTGCCACATGAACTTTTTATTATTGTGCCGCTCTCTTGGCTCAAAGTCCCCACTGGCTTCTCACTACCCAACTCTTCAGCTGGACCTTCCCAGACCCCCACCCTGACCCCACCCTTTCTCCCCAGTAAGAACTCCTGCTCTTCCCAAGCACAGATCCTCACAACCAGCCACACCTCCTCATACAGGCCACGGAGTTCTGCTTCAGTGATATTCCTTTCATGTTTTCTCACACAATTTTCTTTCTACAGTTTTGAACTGGATCCATTAAGGCTTCGCTGAAATCCAGCTTCTTTCTCAGTGAAGCCCTCTCAACAACCATTTTTTTTTTCCCGTCATATTCTATACCAGACATTGCCTGTGCCAAGGGACAGTTCATTCATACCTACATCGTGGTTCTCTCCTTAACACATTCACACCAACCGCTCTACACTGCGGTACCTATGTAAACAGTTAAGGTCTATGACAGTTGAGATTCTCCTAAGTTTTGTGTTACTAACAGTACTCATCATTGGTTCTTATAAGAAAACTTTGGATCTATTAAACATTTGAATTTTGTGTACCAGATTCTGTATTGGGGCACAAAACTCCTGATTCTGTTATTGGTGATGATGAAAAGGAAGATCTCAAAAGGTCATTCTTAGAAGTGCTAGGCCTTCCCAGAAACAGACACAGTTGAACTCTTTGTTAATAAACTTGCCAGGTCAAGTTTCTTACTTTTTAATGTAATTTATGATTAGCCTCTTAATTAAGTTACAGCCAGCCATTCAATCTGCTCCCAAATGTCAGTGGCTTCAGTATTTAAAAATTATTGATCACGTACGGGTAAGCTGATCAAACTTTTCTGACTAGCATCTTTGTTTCTAATTTCCCACAGTCTCCTCTCCCCTTCTTGCAGCCCTCTTGTGGTCCCGTGGGCTCTGGCCATGCTACAGCATCTCATCAGCCACCCAGCCAGCACACGGTGGCAGACATACCAATGATTTGAGTAGCATTACATTTACACTTTAAAGGTAATTTTGGATTTCAATTGTGTTATAAAAATAAGCATTCCCTCTTGTTTTCTTATATTTAATTAAGAGACTGAAATGTAAGAAACTGTATTATGTTGAGGCTATATATTCTGATATTGGACAGGATTGAGAGGATCTGTTTTACCAAAAACAGTGCACGAGGGTTCCCTTTGCTCCACACCCTTGCCAACGTGTTGACTTTTTGTAACGGCCATCACGGCTGGTGTGAGGTGGTTCTCACTGCGGTTTTGATCTGCATTTCCCTAGTGATTAGTGATGTTGAGCATCTTTTCATATGTCTGTTGGCCATTTGTACATCTTCTTGGGAGATATGTCTTTTTACATCCTCTGCCCATTTTTGATTGGATTTTTTTTTTTTGGTATTGAGTTGTATGAGTTTCTTATATATATTTTGGATGTGAAGTCCTTATTGGATATTTCATTGTACACTGTTGGTGGGACTGCAAACTGGTGCAGTCCCTATGGAAACCAGTGTTTGAGATGCCTCAAAGAACAAAAAATAGATATACCATATGATACAGCAATTTCACTTCTGGGCACTTACCCCCCCCCCAAAAAAAGAACACTAATTTGAAAAGATATATGCAGCCCATGTTCATTGCAGCATTATTTACAATAGCCAAGATATGAAAGTTGGTAGAAGAATGGGTAAAGAAGATGTGGTATGTATATGTATATATTTCAACTCATTTTCATTGGGGGCCACATCGGCCTCGCGGTCTTCAAAGGGCTGGAATAATTTTAGGACTATAAATGTAACTACTCCTTAACTGTTATGGAGTTGAAATTACATTTGGCCCTTTGAAGGCAACCGTGAGGCTGATGTGGCCCCCAGTGAAAATGAGTTTGACACCCCTGATCTAGAGGATATTATGCTAAGTGAAATAAGTTAGGCAGAGAAAGACAAATATTGTATGATTTCACTTATATGTAGAATCTAAAAACAAAACAAAATAAGCAAACGAAGAAAGCAAAAACAGACTCATAAACAGAGACCAAAATGATGGCTGGTTACCAGAAGGGAGAGGGCGAGGGAATGGATGAAAAAGAAAAGGTGGATAGTCACTAATAGTGTGATAAATTTACACGGTGACAGATGATTACTAGAATTAGTGAGGTAGTCACATTGTACTGTATGAAAACGCCCAATCACTTATACTGTACAAATAACCAATATAAGACTATATATCAACTATACTTAAATTAAAAAGTATTTTAAAAAAAACAGAGTAAGTGGAATAATGAAAAATGGAACGACATACCTGGTTCCACTCATTTGTCTGGGGATCGTAGGCCTCCACTGTGTTCAGGTAAGTCTGCCCGTCGTACCCGCCAACGGCATACAGCTTGTCTCCCAGCAGACAGACCCCCACCGCGTCTCTGCTGATGCTCATGGACGCCACTGCCGTCCACATGTCTGTTTTGGGGTCATACCTGAAAGAAGATTTCAGGACTGGAGATGACCTTGTTCTCATAATACTTTATGTAAAAATAGATTTGTTCTTTAAGCCTATCTTGTCTTATTATCTGCTGTATAAAGTACATTTGAATACAATGTAGAAAACAATAGCAATATTTTCCTGAAAACTTTTACTTACAATATTACAGATTCATTTAGCAGATACATAACACTAAAACTTTTCAAATGTGCTAATGTAAATGCTGAAAACGGCTTTCAGGTTTTAGATTGCTTACTGAAAATCTAAGGAAATCATTTTGTGAAGATCTATACAAGATAACTTACAGCTCCAGTTATGGTAGCAGTTCATTTTGGGACCTTCTTGTACCTTTCACAAGGTATGTTTATTAGAACTGACTAAAACTGTGGTCAGATACATGCTTAGATGACCTATTTTGCTTCTAATGCCTCTTATATCAATGAATAACTCTTCACTGTTTGTGTGCAGTACAAGGGTGAGCGTGTGGTAAATTATATATGGGGCAAAGTGTATAAAAACTTCCATATTCCTTTCCTCAATTGTAACATGCAATAAGCATAGTCTGAATTATTTTCTCCCCAATACAGGTTAAATGCAGATGTAACATTCCTTCTTTCTCCAGAACCACCACCCCCCCACCCAAAACAAACAAACAAAAAGCCCCCAAACAAACAAAAAACCAAACTCTATTTATCTCACAGAAAGCAATAATTTTCACTAACAAACCTTCATTTCACTTTTTAGTCTTCTGTTAGTTATTTCTAATTTATTGAATAACACACATACATACACTAAATTCCCATTGCTCTTTATCCAAAATTCTTTTTTAAAATTTATTTTATTGATTATGCTAGTACAGTTATCCCAATTTTTCCCTCCATCCAGGACCCCCACATCCTCCAGCAATCTTCCTTCTCCCGAGTTCATGGCCATAGGTTTTGCATATAAGTTCTTTGGCTTCTCCATTTCCCATACTATTCTTAACATCCCCATCTATTTTGTACCTACCAATTATGCTTCTTCCCTGTACTTCTTTCCCTCCTAGTCTCCCCCTTTGCCCTCCTAGCTGATACCCTCCAAATAATCTCCATACCTATGATTCTGTTCCTGTTCTGGTTACTTGCTTAGTCTGTCTTTCCCTCCCTCCTCCTTCCCCCTCTCTCTGTTTTTCTTTGTTTTCTTTTCTTTTTTCTTTCTTTCTTTCTTTCTTTCTTTCTTTCTTTCTTTCTTTCTTTCTTTCTTTCTTTCTTTCTTTCTTTCTTTCTCTTTCTTCTTTTTCTTTCCTTTCTTTTTCTTTCAGATTCAGTTGTTTATAGTTGTGAGTTTATTGTCACTTTACTGTTCATAGTTTTTAATCTTCTTCTTTTTCTTAAATAAGTCCCTTTAATATTTCATATAATAAGAGTTTGGTGACGACGAACTCCTTTAGCTTTACCTTGTCTGGAAAGCACTTTGTCTGCCCTTCCGTTCTAAATGATAGCTTTTCTGGATAGAGTAGTCCTGGATGTAGGTACTTGATTTTCAGCACTTTGAATAGTTCTTGCCAGTCCCTTCTTGCCCTCAAAGTTTCTTTTGAAAAGTCTGCTGGTAGTCTTATGGGAATTCCTTTGTAGGTAACTCTGCCTTTCTTTTGCTGCTTTTAAGATTCTCTCTTTATCTTTAACCTCTGGCATTTTAATTATGATGTGTCTTGATCCTCTTTGGGTCCAGCTTGTGTGGGACTCTCCGTGCTTTCTGGACTTGTATGTCTATTTCATTCATCAAATTAAGCAAGTTTTCTTTCATTATTTTTTCAAATATGTTTTCAATTTCTTGCTCTTCCTCTTCTCCTTCTGGCATCCCTATGATTTGGATGTTGGTAAATTTGGAGATGTCCCAGAGGTTTCTTATATTCTCCTCGTTTTCTTGTTTGTTTTTTTTTTTAATTCTTGTTTCTTCTTGCTGTTCTGATTGAATGTTTATTTCTTCGTTAAGTTGCAAATCATTGATTTGAATCCCAGCTTTCTCCTCTTCACTGCTGGTTCCCTGTAGAGTTTTCTTTATTTCACTTAGTGTAACCTTTGTTTCTTCCTTTATGTTGTTGCCATACTCAGTGAGTTCTTTGAGCATCCTGATCACCAGTGTTTTGAACTCTGCATCTGACAAGTTGGTTGTCTCTATTTTGTTTAGTTCTTTTTCTGGGGTTTTGATCTGTTCTTTCATTTGGGCCATATTTCTTTGTCTCCTCAATTTGGCAGCCTCCCTGTGTTTGTTTCTGTGTATTATTAGGCAGAGCCGCTTTGACTCCCTGTCTTAGCAGTGTGGCCTATTGTAGAAAAGGCACCTGTAATTGTGTGGGGTGGAACCTTAGGTAATCACCTGGGCAGGGCAACCCGCTTCACTGCTTTGTGGCTGTGTCGGGGGAGAACTCAGAGAGGGGAGTGTTGCTGCCTGGCCTCTGGAGGTTTGTCCGGCTCTCATCCTGTTTCCAGTTACTTCACTCACTCCCCGTACGTGACTGGAGCCCTTCCAACTGTTGCCCTGGTGCTGAATCCCAGAGTGGGAGGGTCTGCATACGTTCTAAGACCATGCAGTCCTTTATGCAGAGTTTACTAAAAATCTGGCAGTTTCTTCTGCCACCCCAACCCTCACTGGTTTTTCCAGCCAGAAGTTATGGGGGTTTATCTTCCCAGAGCTAGAACCCTGGGCTGTGTGGTTTGGCCTGGGGGTGGGACTGCCGGTTCCGCCACTGCCACTGCCTCTCCACACCCCACCATGTCTCCTTGCCTCTCTGCCCATTTCATGTCTCTGCCCCTCCTACCCATCTGGATGAAAGTGGCTTCTTTAAATCCTTGGTTGTCAGACTTCCATGCAGCTCAATTTTCTGACAGTTCTGGGAGTTGTTTTGAGGTTTAGTTATAATTCTCTTTGTGGTTGTGCAAGGAGGCGAGGCCTGTCTATCTATATCTCCATCTTGACTGGAAGTCCCCCAAATTCTTAATAAAGCCTCAATACTTTACATGACCTGCCCCTGCCTCCAACCCACTCCTCCTCCTTTCCTGCCACTCTCCCTGTTGCTTTGTTCTCTACTATAGTGGCAGCCTTTCAGTTTCTGAGTGAGTCATAGCCCTTTCTGCTCTGGAGTGTTCAGACCTGCTCCTATTGGCTCACCTAAGCCCACTCGATTTTCTCTGTTCCTTGAACCAGACTGAACACAAAGGATGGAGCCTGAACTACTGTACAACTCTTCCTCAGATGTTAGGTTTCTTTACCTGGCCCCACACTCGAGTTTAATGAGGCCAGTTTGGATGACTTGGTAAAGCTTCTAAGCCTCATGCACCTTTTATTTTATTATTTCATTTTATATCAAAATGTGTTTGGAATGCCCCACCCCTTTTCTCTTATTTAGCTTCCAGCCACTAATTCATTATCTCTGAAATTCATGGAGCTCCTTTTCTTTCATTAGGTACAGTGACCAGTACAAAATAGCATACAATGAATGTTTTTCTTATGATTCAATTAATAAATTATATTACCAATTCTAAAGTCAAGTAGGCAGTTATAAGATGAGAGAAGAACCAGAGGAGGCTCTGAGGAGACCGACTGTGAGATGGCCAGAGCAGACGATCCAGTACTTACAGAGCTCTTAAGGAACACTGCGAGTGGTGGATGCATAATAAAGAATTACTAATCTTTCTGAAAGTGTCAGAGGCTTATACTTGTTCTTTTTTATTCCTAGTTTTCCTTCACAAGAAGTTACCTTTCCACACAGTCTGAGAGTCTGGAAGTCAAGTTGGATGCGGGCGCGTCATGGCCTCCAATGGCATATAGCAATCCATTCCAGGTGGTCACTCCTACGCCCCCTCTCCTTTTGGACATTTGTGCACAGAGTGTCCACTTATTAGTATGAGGGTCAAAACACTCTACTGACTTGAGACAAGAACTTCCATCACGACCACCAACTGCGTAAAGTCTGTAAAAAGAACAGAGTGGTAAAGAGGAAATAGTGCTATGCTTAAGACAAAGAGGTTACTCTTGGGGTATTTCTTTGAATTTAAAGTGCCACTGATCATAAGACACTCTGTCAACTTATGTTTCACTAGAAAAGTGACATGCTACCAATTAAATGACACATGTGTACATCATAAATATGAATATACCAGATGTCGCCATGTATACATAAGAAAAGCTCACATGAAGCAATGACAACTGTTTCACAGCTGCCATCTGTCTGACGTCTGTTTGATACACCACCCCCGATTGTAAGGTGCACTGCAGTTTTAGAGATGATAAAATGTGTCTTAGAATATAGAAAATATGGCGTATAAATAAATCATGCCTTATGTCTTCAATAACCAAAACAGGACTTTGTTACAAAGGAAAGAAACTAACCTTCTCTGAGCACCTACCACAGGCAAGGCACTTTGCATGTATTTGTCTAACTATATGATCATCACAGTGATGCTATGAGAAACCATCCGTATCCCCATTTCACAGCTGAAAACCCTGGAGCTCATGGAGGTTAAGACACTTGCATGGGGTTATCCACTAAGAAGCAGAACCAGGATACATAGTTACATTAATGAGCAGTTGTACAGTGAACAGTTATCTGGGATATACTTGTAGTAATAAAATAGGACAATAAAAGGAGATCTTGAAACAATGGTATATAGATTAATATTTACTGTTTATAAACAGTGATCATCCATTAATTTAAATTACTGCAGATAAGGGTACTGTAAGTTATCTAATATGAATGTGGTATGTTAATGACCTAAATGTTGCCTTGGTCAATTTTGATTCATTATCAATTAATATACAGTACTAATTTGAAAGTCTTTTACTCTAAATATATGTAAAATATTTTAAATATTTAAAGATTTAAAGATTTTTTATTAAGCACAAACTCCTCTTGTACTTACTATTTACTTGGGAAGCTCTTCATAGATAGTTTTCTATTAGGTTTTCTTAAAGTAATAAATTCAGTTCATTGCTAACAGTAAGGGTAATATAGTTTTAATTTATAGAGGCCTTAGTTAATATTTAACTATCTTTACAGTCTCAAGAAGTATTTGAACTGTATCAATTTTCTGCCTATTAAAACATTAAGTATTTATATTTGGTTAATATACACATTTAAAAGACAGATTTCATAATTTTAATCCATAATTTAAAGTACACAATGCCAGTCGAACTGGTTTTTAAATAAGAGGATGACCATATATTAAACAGCTATAAAGTTGTAACAATATTGTGCTCTAAGTTTAAGCTATATTGTAATATGAAAATTTAAGTTTATTTGAAACTTTTTTATCTATTAAAAACTACTTATTTGTGTTATTATTCTTAATATTAAACTATTCTAATCTTTAATTAACACTAGAGGGAATAATGATCTAAATATTGATCACAGAGTATTAGGAGGCATCAACAATTAGAAAATATACTAGTTAAAAATACATGCGCACGCGCACACACACTCGCACACACACTTTACAATAGGCCCGAGGCACCTTACCCTGTTCACAGTGAATTCACGGGTCTTCACTGGGAAAAGTGCTGTAGTGAGCATGAACTCTGAAGCCAGATTCCCTGGGTTTGAATCCCGGTCCTGCCACTCAGCACTTACCATTTGTGATTGTGGACAAGTTATTTAACCTCCAGCTGCCTGAATTTCATCATCCACAAAATCTGGAAGCCCTGCCCCAGAGGATTATTAATGATCATATTTAAAGTATTTCAAACAGTACCCTACACATGAATAATATGGTGTAAGTGCTTGAGGGGAAAAATGAATTCTGTCCTATTTCCTTTTTCATTTATTAGATGGGTTTATTGCAGATAATTTTACATTTTACTGATAAGGCTAACATATCCAATTAATAATTTTGTTTGAAATTGGTGTTTTTAAAAATTTATTTTTTAATTGTTGCTTAAGTATAGTTTTCTGCCTTTTCTCCCCACCCCTCCCCACTACCCCAGCCCTCCCCACCTGCCTCCCCTGTTTCCACCCCCCTTGTTATTGTCCATATGTCCTTTATACTTGTTCCTGTAAACCCCTGGCCCTCTTCTCCCATTATCCCCTCCCCTCTCCCCTATGATCACTGTCTGCCTGTTCTCAATTTCAATGTCTTTGGCTTTACTCTGCTTGCTTGTTCGCTTTGTTGATTAGGTTCCTGCTAAAGGTGAGATCACTATTTTCATTCTTTTAGAAGATGGCATTTTTAGGAAATGTCAGATGTACAAATAACATTATACTATGCTAATATTAAGGGCTAAATTATATCAGTATCACTTTCTGAAGACTCATTATCTCAAGCAATGGTCTTTAAACTGTATTCTAAGAACTGGATTCTGTGGAGAACTTTAGGGGAGTCCCCAAAAATGGTTCATTTGAAATTCAAGTTTTAATTTTCAAAAATATCACCTGGCTTAATTAAATACCATACAAGATTCAGAACTCATCTTTCTTTTGCATGACAGTACCTCTGAGGATGAAAAAAGAAATAGTATGCCAAATTGTGATAGTTTTGTACTAAATATTTTAAAATGTAAGATTTAGGCCATGGTTAACTTTTAAAATTAGGTCTTGCCTGACTTTTAAAATTATGATCAAGAATGCCAACAGTTGGTAGGTAACATTTCAGATTAAACTTAGAAAAAAAATTTGCTCCTATCTGCACAGTACTTGAACAATTTAATTGAAGTTTCCTGAGATTCCAATTAAATTGCTCTAGTAGTTAAAATAACTGTTACTATTTTCAGCTTTTTTGTGAATCAGGATATTCTTCATACAGGACTACCAAAACAAAACATAGAAATAATCTCAAAAACAGACTTATTCTCCTACATTGAAATTTATAATAAGTAAATATTATAAACTTCAACTTATAATAAATTTAAAGTAAGCTTATAATAAACTTGAACCTCCATTTGCCTTAACTGTGAGGTTTTTGTTAAGATTTCATTTGAAAGAGAGATTCTACTGCCAAAAATATTTGTCAGTCAGTGGCTTAAAAGTAGCCTGAGCAATTAGAAGTCTAAATAAAGCTTTGTTCTGTCAAACATGGTAGAAAGAAACATTTTAACACTTTGAAATTTTTAAAATACAGAATGAAACTCATTAAGATATTGAAATAGTTCTTCCCTAAAGAAAAACTACATTTTGCATCAGGAAGCATTGTAAAATAAATTAAAATAACAAAACAGTAGTTAATCCAGGATTTTCATTTTATAGATATAAAAAATTGAGGTATGGAGAATGATTTGTTCTAAATCACAAAATGGCAGAGAGAAGATGCATAATTACATTTTTTTTCAATCAGTGGCATGCTTTTTAATTTTAACAACATAGCTTCTATTTTTTTCCTGATTATGACTATGTACCTAATAAACGAAACCAACAAAATAGTTTAAAACATTGCTACTTTGTTCAGTGATGATGAACTCCTTTAGTTTTTTCTTGTCTGGGAAGCTCTTTATCTGCCCTTTGATTCTAAATGACAGCTTTGCTGAGTAAAGCAATCTTGGCTGTAGGTCCCTGGTTTTCATGACTTTGAATATTTCTTGCCAATCTCTGCTAGCTTGCAAAGTTTCTGTTAAGAAATAAGCTGATAGTCTCCCCTGTAGGTAACTAACTGCTCTGCTCTTGCTGCTTTTAAGATTCTCTCTTTATCTGTATCTTTGGCATTTTAATTGTGACATGTCTTGGTGTGGACCTGTCTGTGTCCATCTTGTTTGGGACTCTGTGCTTCCTGGGCTTGCATGTTTATTTCCTTCCCCAAATTAGGGAAGTTTTCATTCATTATTTTTTCAAATAGTTCCAATTTCTTGCTCTTTCTATTCTCCTTCTGGCACCCCTATGATACGAATGTTGGTATGCTTGTAGTTGTCCCAGAGACTCCTTACACTATCCTCATTTTTTTTTGGAATTTTTCTTCTTATTGTTCTGCTTGGTTGTTTTTTATTTCCTTCTGTTCCATATCATTGATTTGATTCTTGGCTTCATTCACTCTACTGTTGATTTCCTGTAAATTGTTCATTTCCATTAGTATATCCATCATTTCCAACTGGATTTTTTATGCTGTTGAAGTACTCACTAAGTTCCTTGAGCATCCTTATATCTGGTGTTTTGAATCTGCATCTGATAGATTGCTCTTCTCCATTTTGTTTAGTTCTTTTTCTGGAGTTTTTATCTGTTCTTTCATTTGGGCCATGTATTTTTTGTCTCCTCGGTTTGGCATCCTCCCTGTGTTTGTGTATTAGGTAGAACTGCTATGACTCCCTGCCTTGGTAGCATGGCCTATAGAGTCCAGTGGCCCTGTCTCCCCTATCATCCAAACTTGGTACTCGAGGTGCACCCTTTGTGTGGGCTGAGTACAACCTCCTCTTGTAGTTGAGCCTTGATTGCTGTTGGCAGGTCTATGGGAGGGATTGACCCAGGCCAATCCACTGCAAGAATTGGCTATACCACTGACCACCAACCTCCGCCCTCTGTAGAGGATCAGCTGTGCAGGGGCAGACTGGTGGTGCTCCAACCTGGTCTGTAGCTGTCTACTGGGTATGCAGGCTCTGGAGTTTCCTGGGTGGGGCAGGCCAAAGTAAGCCCCCACCTGTGTTCTGTCTGGGGCCACTCAGTGAGAGCTACAAAGCAATATGAAGCTGGCTGCTAGTTGTGCTGGGCGGAGCCAAACTGTGATCCAAAACTGGCTGCTGCTAGTGCCAGGCCTGAGGCTGCTTAGCCAGAGGTAGGAAGGCTGGGGGAAGGCCATGATGGGGTGAGGCAGAGCCTCAGATAAATGCCAGGGGTGGGCAAAGTGTAAGTCCTGATGCCAGATACTTCAGTTCTTCCCTATATGCCACTTGTGCCTTTCAAGCTGCTACCCCAGTGGTGCTCAGAGGGAGTGAGTCTAAGTTCATATGCAGACTCTTTAAGAGGAACTGCTTGGGAGTCCAGCAGTTTCTTCCACCAACTTAATCCCTGATGGTTTTGTAGCCAGAAGTTATGGGGGCTTATCTTCCTGGCACTGGAACCCTGGGTGGGGGGGCATGATGTGGGGCTGGGACCCTTGCTTCCAAGATATTCCTCCTGAATTTTTATCCACCACACGTGTGTGAGGGACCAGCCCGTTCCACATCTGCTTGTCTGCACATCTGTGCCTCCCCAGGTCTCTCATCCTCCTGGATGGGTGTGGTTTCTTTAGTTCCACAGTTGATGGTCTCCCATTCAACTTGATTTCTGATGGTTCAGAGTGACCGTTGGTGTGTAATTTAGTTGTAATTCGGATGTGGTTGTGCAAGGAGGTGAGCTGTGTTTTACCTACACCTCCACGTTTAAACATTTGTTTACATCACTCAAAGTATTTCTCTTTTGTGATTTACTTATGTAATTTTTTAAGTTGGATATGACATAGCATAGTAAATTCAGTGTATTGTGTTTTAAATAGAACCTGAAGTATTTTCTTACTTTCCACTGAGTACTGCCACACCTACTGTGCTCCTGGGGGTGGACATGGCAGCAACAAAATTCCACTGGCGAGCCTGAGGGTCCCACCTTTCCACTGTATTCAGATAGCTCCAGCCATCGTGCCCTCCGACTGCGTACATGGGGCCTTCCAGCACAGCCACACCTGCAAGGAGGCAGGAAAGAAATGACTTACGAATGACACATTAACTGACATGTAAGCACAAATCTTAAACAGGCAAATTTACCTAAGCAAATAAATGTATGATATGGACATCTGGTTTACTTACAGCTCTTCTTAGTAGAAAGGAGGGTGAGTGAGGATGAGAAATAGCGCTATAGCTCTGGTCTTAAAAGTTTCAGAGGCAGTGTTTTGAGGTCATACAGTGGGGAAATTATTAAAAACTACATGAAATGAACATATCCCCATATTTAAAACATTTTTCAATAATATGGACTTGAGATATAGTTGAGAGAGCAGTTTTATTCCTTTTCCCCTATTCATTCAAATTCATGGTATTTTTATTGCAGTTAGATTTGATATCACAATCTGTTGATGAACCATCACTAGGGAACTGAACCAGATTCATTTGTTCAACAAATATCCACTGAGTTTCTACTAACTGCCAGGTGCTGAACGGAACATAACAGGTAAGGGTTCTGCCCTCATGGACCTAATATTTTAGTTGGGAAACAGAAACAATATATTTTGGGTATTGTTAAATGCTAATAGAAAACCTGAGTTGATCAATGGAAGAGAGAGTCAGGGGAGAACTCTCAGGTGAGGTGACATTTGAACGAACACGTAAATGAAGCCAGCAGACCAGGCATGGGAGTATCTGGGGAAGAGGGTGTGGTACAGGAGATGGCATGTACAAAGTCTCTGAGCCACGCTTAGCGTGTCTGCGGGACAGCAAGGAGGCCAGTTTGGTTGGCGGGTGCATGATGGGGAGAGCGTAGGAGATGAAGGAGAGTGTGCAGCCAGAGCATGCAGAGTGGCTGGGGCCACTGCAAGGACTTTGGGTTTATTCTAACTGAGACAGAGGGCCAGTGGAAGGCTTTGAGATGAGGTGTGATGTGATCACCGTCAGGTGAGATACAAATATGAATCACTAGAAGCTCAACATACAAGTTTTGCAACACAAATAACATTTCAGTTTGTGAAATCATGGACTGATGAAATACAAATATTCACCATTCGTGTATGTCCTGAATTAACATGTTATTCCACTCATTTGTGCCCTACCAGTACTGGCTATTGGAGACACACCTACGCAGCTACAGTTTCAATCACATGCAATATACATCCATGTTTGTGTGTATCATTAACCAAAGGATGGGAAGAAAAGATAATGGTTCCATCCAGTCCAACACCTTAAACAGTACCTTTGAAAAGAAATAGCAGCAGAATCACGTTTTCAAAGGAAGTCTTCGTATAATTCCCATATGCAAAGGGATAAAAGGACTTTTTCTTAAGTAAAAGTTCCTTTTATAAGTTCAAGCTTAAAACACTTATTATAAGGTAAATTAATAAGAACAAGGCTGCTTTAAGTGATGCAAAAATCTGAAATAAAGGCTTAAAGTAGACACTTCGAGCTATGTAATCATTCTCCTTTGAAGTTGCTACAGCTCAATAAAGTCTTTTGTCGGGTGCCTGGGACTCATGACAGGGTCCCACACACCGTCTAGTCTGCACGAAGCAGAGCTGGCTCACGGGCATTCTCAGTCCGTGCACCCATATGTGTAAGAACTTACCTTAAGTGAGCATTACGTTTCTTTCCCCTGTGGTAGGGGCAAGTTCACAGTTAAATCATACTATTGTCCCTGAATTTCATGGTCAACCCAAATTTATAAGTCTCATTCATGCTGCTTTTATCTTCCCACACTCTGAGCCTATGTCATAGGCAATTTTATGGACTCAAGGGTAATGTTTATAGTTTTCTTTGTTAAATTTCATATAGTTAATTTTAAGCTTCCTTTCTGCACCTTAGACCTGACCTTCTGGTTTACCTCCTTACCAAACTTGAAACTTAAGATCACCTTTCACTGAAACCTAACTGCACCTAACAGAATTCCTTGTCTCTGTTTTTTTGCTATACTCAACGACCACTAGGTGGTATCTTCAAGCCTAGACAATTTTCACTGGCTTTTTGGGGCATCTACTCAGGTGCTCAGTATTAATGGAGTATAGTAGAAAGCTATGCAATCCAAACTATGCCTTCAGTGCTACTCATCCATTTTTTAAATTCATCTTCTATGATGGCCTATCAAATTCTTTATTGCAACTATATTTCAATCTTTTCCAAACTATGATAAATCAACAACAGGGCCACAAATTCTTCCTGTCCTTCCAATGCACTGTGACTCTGCAGCTCCTCACATTGAGAGGAGGCGTCTGTTTTCCTACTCTGTGAATCTGGGCTCGCCCGTGCCGCTTGTGCTGGCCAGTGGGGTGTTAGGAAACAGGATGCAAGCAGAAGCTTTAGAGTGTTTGTGCACTGGGCTTGCCTTCGCTTGCTGCTTCTGAAATCCTGTGGCTGCCACCACATGAAGAAGCAGCCTGGGCTAGGCCGCTGAATCATTCGTGGCATTGGCCCAGGTGCCTGTGTTCCCCAGGCCAGCAACCTGCCTACCACTACACATGAGTGAGGCCACCCTGCCAGCCCGTCAGCCTTCCTCAGGTTAATGAGAGAACCCAGCAGAGATTATCCCAGACAGCCCAGACCAGAACAGCCTAACCCGCAGATCCATGAATGAAATAAATGGTTGGTGTAAGCCTCTAAGTTTTGCAGTGGTTTGTTATACAGCAAAAGCTGGGCAATGCACATATATTTCAGGCCTCATGTAATTTTATTTCCATCTCCTTCACTCTCATCAAACAATTCTTTCTACTTCACCTACTCTCTCTCTTATGAGAAAAGAGAGGTCATCTGATACAAGGTCCCTAAACTCTCTTCTGTCATCTCAGAGTGAGCGAGCCATCAGTTTCTTGAGGGTAAAGACAGTGTCTTCCACGTTTTTACAAACCTACAGAGCGAAGAGCATGGCACACAGTGCATGTTAATCAGCGTCTGCTCAGTGCAGAAATAAAAAGTTTCCATTGTTATATTCTCTGTGCCACCTTCAAATTGTTCTGGGTTTTACTCATTTCTGCTTACAAACCATGGGAGATAGAGAACAATAATGTTAAGGATTTTTAAATAGCAGTTTAATTAGGTTAGATAATACTAATAGCCAACACAAAACACACATATCCAAAAATGGCTTGTCACTCTGTCATGCTGCACTAACACATCCGTGTTGTTCGCCCTGGCCGGTGGCGCAGTTGGTTGGGGCGTTGTCCCACACACCAAGAGGCTGCAGGTTTGATGCCAGGCCAGGGCACGTACTTAGGTTGTGGGATCCATCCTTGGCCGGGGCACACACCAGAGGCAAGCAATCGACGTTCCTCTCTCCCATCAGTGTTTTTCCCTCTCTGTCCCTCTCTCTCTAGAATCAAATAAACATATCCTCTGGATTAAAGAAACACTCATGGTTTCGTTTGTATTAGTTGCACATATACATGCATGCATGTGCTTGTATTCTCCGCTCCTCCTTTTCGGTTAACAGATCATGTGCAGGAATGCTTGGTGCCTGCTGCCGACTCAGCAGCTGCCACACTGGTTGGCGGCTTCTGCCTGGTACAGAACGTGAAAAGGCTGTGGAACCCGAATACACGATGTTCTGAGCAAACCTGCAGTTACACTCACCAAGGCCATGCCTGTGTGTGGACATGGGCGGCATCACGCTCCAGGTTTTGGTTTTGGGGTTGTAGCATTCTACGGTATTCAAAGTCTTCAGTCCGTCTCTTCCTCCGACCACATACAGCTTGTCGTCCAACACTGCGACACCGAACTGCAGCCTCCTCCCATTCATGTTTGCCACAGGAGTCCACATGTTTGTACGAAGGTCATACTTTTCAATGCTTGTTGCTCCTTAATGGTTATAAATAAAAGTTATGTAAATAAGAATTTCACCATGATTATTTTATGAAATTATACATACTAAAATACATTTTTATTAGCATTGACAATAATATTCTCATTATATTCCAATAAGCCCTTGCACGATCTGGTCCCTGCTCGTATCTCTGACCTTGCCTGCTAATGTTCTCGAGGGCATACAGCAAGACACACACCTCCTATTCTCCATGGCATATGCAACGCTCTGGTACTACAAGGTCAAGTGAGGAAGAATTACGTGTCAAAGAAGGCTGAGAAACAACAGCTAGAAGTGGGAGGAAAAGCTGGGTACGTTAGTGTCATGGAAGCCAAAGGAAGGAAGTTTATGGCAGGTAGGACTGTGAACAGTATCAAATGCTCCTGAGAGGGTCAGGGAAGATGGAAACTAAGAAGTATTACTAGATTTAGCTGCATGGAGGTCACTGGTGACTTTAAGAAGAGTCCCTTGTTTGGGTGGTTGGGACAAGACTGGGAGATGAGGAATGGAAATGATTCTTTGGAAAAGTTTGGCTATAAAAATGAGAGAGAAAGGTGGGAATTACTAGATGGGTTGAGGGAGGTTTTGTTCTGTTTTGCTTTTAAAATTGGAAAAACTTGAGTTGGCCCAAATGGTACCGGGAAGGATCTAGTTATAAGGAAAGGAGCTGAAAGTACAGCACAGGACGGGATCCTGAGAGGGAGGAACGGGCAGCATCAGGGCACAGGTGAGGGGCTGGCTGCCACAGGGAGGGGGAGGGTGTGCATTCCGTTGCAACCAGGGAGGACAAGAGCATAAGCGTGGATCACGTGCTTTGGGGACTATGAGTGTGGGAGGTTCAGGAAGTAACTGCCCCACGATGTCTACATTTTTTTTTACAAATTGGAAGATTCAGAGAACTTGTTGTTTTTATGAAGTGACACTAGTGGAGTTAAGGGGGGGAAGCCCCACCCCTCTAAAAAAGACCCCCCCCCGCTTAACAAAGAGTTGGGTTGGTGTCTACTTTATTCTCCTCTTCTAAGCTTCTGATATAACCTGCAGTCAGTGCTATTCTTACAGAATCACGATCAGGACAGACATGTATCCTACAGTATTTGTTGCAACTAGGTCATCAGAGCACTAATACTATTGATAATCTCCTAAAATTTAGAAATAGTTTGATTGTATATGATATTTTCTCATTACCATAGTTTTGTCATTTATTTACTCTACAAAAATTTTAAGTTATTTAAAATAAATATCAAGTCTTTTTCTGTCTTTATATTCTCATGGGGCCATATAATAGACTCCCTGGTATGTAGGAGCTGTTCCAAAATATTTTTGAATTTGAATAATCTTTATTACTTTTAGGTGTAAGGAGACTTTACTCCTACACTCAGATTATTTTATGTAGTAGTATTCTTGACTCATCACTCTAAATTTGATTTTAAAAACTTCCTTCATTAAATAAGAAGACAATGTCAATCATCTTTCCTCGCTAATGGATTTAAGAAATATTTATTTTATTTGAATTTTAACTTATTTCTTTATATCTAGTTCACCAAACAGTATCATAGTCTTATAAATTGGTAACTAAAAATTCTTTTGCTAATATCAAACATAATTCTTATATAAAATCTGAAAACATTATCTGAAACATATATCTTCATTATATATATATATATATATCAAAGCATAACAAAATCCTAACAACTGCAAAATTCTATGTAAAAGTTTAGAACTTCCCTAATTTATACTGAAGAATTAACCTTTACAAATAGTAGGCACAAATACATTCTACCATTATCTTAGAAGCGATTTAGAACCATCCACAGTTTATTGGGCTCTGTACTAAACGGAAGGGATCAAGAACCCAATGATCAGATTACTATCCAAATAATGCTAAGAGATTTTCATGATAAAGACACTGGGAATAAAGTAAGGCCCAGGAAGACATCGTGAAAAGGATGGAAGGTCAGAGTATTTGCTTGTTAAGAAAGACTCAGAAATAGTGTTGGTCAAGCCACAAGGGTCAGATTACAGGGAGACCTGAAACCTACAAGGAGGAACTGACACCTCATGCGGTAGGAAATAAAAATCGCTGGGGGTTTTGAGCAGAGTAATGGCAGGTTAACCGAAGAGAGTAGAACCTCCAGAGTCAAGATCACTGAATCCTCACTCCAGCGCTAGTTAGTTGTGTGATCCTGGGAAAGCAACTTAAATTCTGTCTCGTATCCTCATCTATAGAAGAGGGCAATAATAACGTTGAGCTCTGAGAGCTGCTGTTGGGATGAAACAATACAGGTCAGGTGCTGAGCGTAATGCCTGGCACACGTTAACGACATAAATTAACATGATCAAAATATGTGGGCTGCTAGGAGGCTGACCGGAATTAGAAAGACAGTGATGGGCACCTGGAAAAATAAGACCTATTTGAAAGAAGTCACTTGGTGACTGCAGATTTTAAGGTGTGAGAAGGGGCGGGGGGTGGGTGCAAAGGCAGATTTTATATTGTCTATGTTAGGTACTTAGTGTCTGAGATTCCCTCCCAGGCTTAGGGATTGTTACACTGTCGTATGAGTCTTGATGAGAGTCCGGAACCTGTCTCCCAGAAAGCTGAAAAGACAGATATACATTTTCTTTGTTTTTGGAAATTTAGGATCCAGGACTAAGCTAAACATGGTCAAATGGATGCCTGCACTTAGTATTTAAAATCTAAAGTAGGATTTATAAAGGAGATGTAGTTCCTGCCTGTTTCTCATTAGCCTTCCAACAGACTTCTTGTCTACTTATATGAGCCAGAGTTGGCATCCACACACTGAAGAACCATGAACTATGAATCCAAGGTCTCAAGTCTGGGAGATGTGGTCTGAGAAGTCTTGAACACACAGAGTTTGAGGTGGGAGCTGAATATGAAACAGTATATTTGATGCAAGCTGGAAATGTAAGAATAAAATCAAAGTTCGAGAGTATAATTACTATAGAAATAACAGTTAAAGCCTTGAAAAAGAGAGGGGAAGACAAGCAGTGCTAGGAATGACTACAAAGCTAAGCACCAGTTCCAGGTCCTCAGTGGATCCTTAATCCTCAGTTCTGCAGACTGATGATCTGGACTGGGGAGATCTATTTACACTGTAACTCTAATCAGTTATCTTACTTTATGCATTTCTGTACTGTTTAGTCATCAAGCCTATATTTAGAACTTAAGCATTATATATACATAACACTCTGCTATGTTATATGGAATAATATCCATATATCTGTATCTATATCTATCTTTGTCCCCACAAACCTGAAAGTTAAATAACAATTTAAGACTTTCTATAAGAGCTCATATTTTTACATGCCTTAGAAATGTCACATAGAAGAGAAACCTTTAGACATGATTAATGCATCAAGTGCATTAGCCATGCATGTAATTCAAGAGATGGCAGAGGACAATCTTCACACACTGGACAAATACTTACTGATGCTGTCTAAGGGCAAGGCACCGTTCTAGGCTCTGAGAATATGTTAGTACACAACAAAATCCTTGCCGTTCTGGAGCTTACTTGGGGGAAGAGGTAGACAGACCATGAACAAATGTATCAAGTGCTACGAAGAAACGAGAAGCAGAGTAAAGAGGTAGAAAGTAGTAAGCAAAAGATCAGAAACTAATGGGCAAGAGGTTGCTACTGAATGGTCACAGAAGTCCTCTTTGACATCCGAGAAGAGATGTGAGCGAGCCATTGCTGCTAGGCCTTCCAATACCAAGGCCCAGAGCATCCATGAGAGGAATAGCTAGGGCAAGAATTCTGACATGCGATGATGTTTGGCATGTTAGATGAACTAGGAGGCCAACGGGACTGAAGCACAAGGAGGGAGGGGAGAAGTAGAATGAGCTGAGATCAGACAGGCAGTCACAGTCAGGGAGGTACTGTCAGGGGAGGGTGACTGTTAGAATTCAGAAGGAGATTAATGTCTACTGAGAGGTAATACACAGAAAGCTCTAGCACAATGCCCAGCACTGTGTAGGCAGTATGTATGGTGTTTGTTCTATCATTATTATTAACAGAACTGTTGCAGGAATGGTACAAGGAATCCTGGATGCCTTTGACCCAGATTTCCCAACTGCTTGTTTTAGTACATTTTCTTTCTATGTGTAGGGTTTTTTCCCTGAACTGTTTAAGAGAAAACTGCAGAAATGATGCCCCTGTACGCCTAAATGCTTCAGTGCATCTTCCCCAAAACAAGGAATTCTCTTACAAAACCATATGGCAATCACCAAAATCTGGAAATGAACATTAGCACACTGCTGTTATCTAATCTGCAGAGCTTATTTGGATTTTGTCATTTGTCCCAGTTATGTCTTTTATAGCAAAAGAAAACCCAAGATGATACATTGTAATAGCTGTCATGTCTCGTTAGTCTCTGTAATCTGAAACAATGCCTAATCTTTTCTGTATTTTTTGCCACTGATATTTTGAAATACTACAGACAAGTTATTTTATAGCATGTCTCTCAACTGGGGTTTGTTTGTCTTTTCCTCATGAATAAATCCAGATTATACACTTTTTACATAAATACCACAGATGTGCAGCTGAGTTCTTCCCTGCGTGTCTCATAAAATGCTCACGTTGCCGGTTGGTCTCATCATTGACAACACGGCCTTTGAGTATTCGGTTAAGGTGTTATGTGCCGGTTTCTGTAAAAATACTATTTTACCCTTTGCAACCAATAAGCAAGTGGTTGGGAGATCCTTTGAGACTAAATATCCTGTTGCCAAATTTTCACCTACTAGTCTCAGCCTTCATTGAATTAGTTATTATTATGTAAATGGCTGCCATACGGTGATTTTTCTAATCCTATCTTTGCTTCTATAGTTATTAGTTGGCCTTCCACTATTATAAGGAAGAGCTTCCCTCTCTCTCTTCTTTATGTGAATCAGTGCAGTTATGAATATTTATTGACTTAATAGGTTACAATATTTACTTGTTTTGATGGTGAAATTGGCCCAGATTGGACAGTGGTAGCCCCTTCAGACTGGGGCCCTTGGCCGTCTCCCTCAGTCTCTGAGCACTTCCTACTTTCATCTGCTACAAGACGCCCTGGGCTTATGTTGTACTTCTCTACCCCAATGCTGGAGCCAGCCATTTCTCCAAAGAGCTCTTTGGCCATATTTATTACTATTTCAAATTCAATGTTTTCTATTTCCCCAAATAAGAGGTTATTTAATACCTTTTGTTGAATCTATTCCACCAACGGCAAATAATGTACCGACAGTTGACTTCCTCGGTTTTGTCCGAGGACTTTGTAACATGGGCCGTCTCTCTGGTAACAAATGATACTTCATTGCTTCCATAATTAGTTTCTGACATTCTATATCATCCCGAAAAAGTGCATTATTTTCCATGTCTGCCAGGAACTAGGAAAAAAAAGTATGGATACTGAATGACCAAGAAAATGTTAAGTGTAAAATGATAAACTACATAATTCATAAATGGAAGTAATCGCATTTTTAAAAACATCCAAGTCCAGACATCTATTTTAAAGTGAAATATGCAACACTTATAAGATTTACATTTTATATTTCATTGAAAATCACAAAACTGTAAGGGATAAGTGGTATGCTATAAAATCTTAATAGTGCTTATCTCTGGGTAATAGAGAAATTGGTGCTTTTTTAATAGTATTTTTTCCTACTTTTCTGTTTTCCAGGTTTTCTAAAATAAATCACTTTACCTTCTTCTTCTTTTTTTTTAAAGATTTTATTTATTTATTTTTAAAGAGGGAAGGGAGGGGGAGAGAGAGAGAGAGAGAGAGAGAGAGAGAGAGAGAGAGAGAGAGAGAAACATCAATGTGTGGTTGCTGGGGGCCATGGCCTGCAACCCAGGCATGTGCCCTGACTGGGAATCGAACCTGCAACACTTTGGTTTGCAGCCTGAGCTCAATCCACTAAGCTACGCCAGCCAGGGCTCACTTTACCTTCTTAATTAAAAATAATTTTAACTGAAGAGGAATAATTATAAGTTGACTAATTAGACTATTTATCTGTCCTCTCAAAACAATCTTCAAACAACAGCAGAAACAAACTTACCAATTTCTTAGGGGGCAAAGAACTCTAACTGGTGATTATTCTAAGAGAATTAAAGTCATTTGTGAGTCACCGAATCCATTTTTTTTTACTTATGTAGATTTACATAAATGCATACACCCTTCCTTTAAAAAATGCATTTCTAAATAGAGTACAAGTTGAAGAACATTTTCATTTTCTTCCAGATGGAGAGCCAGTTCTGCATGAGTACCATTTATTAAAGGGTCCCCTTCCTTTCCAGCTGAACGGAAGCTCAGCCATATGTCATGTTCTCATGAATAGATTCAGGATAAATCCTGAAATGTCCGAGATTTTATAGGCTATGTTTTCTTCTAGGATTTTTATGGTCTCGAGTCTTACATTGAAGTCTTTAATCCATTTTGAGTTTGTTTTTGTGTATAGTGTAAGAAGTTGGTCTAATTTCATTTTTTTGGGCATGTATCTGTCCAGTTTTCCCAACACCAGATGTTATGTGAGTGCCTCTTCCTGGGTCTGGTGCTCTGCGCTGGGCAGCCCGGCGTGAGGTTGAGACCCCACACTCCTCAGGGGCAACCTTTGCAGCTGAGACATCCCTCCAGAACCTCAGCCACTGCCTGCGGGAGTGGGGTGAGCCCTGTGCATGTCTCCGCCCTTCCCACCAGACTGTAGTAGGCAGTCAGACAGGTGTGAACACAGTAGGAACGATAGGCCAGGTACTGAAAGTCACCCAGGGTGGAAAGTCCTGGGTGCCTACAACAGGCAAACTAGGAAAGCAAGTACTTTTGGCTAGGACCTTAACCGCCCCCCACCAGGCTGACCTTTCCACCCTCAGCACATCACTACTCATGCGGTTTAGACCCCCTGATATTTCATACCACTAGTCACGTAGTTTAGACTCCTTAAAGGAGGAGCAAGGTGGCTGGAGAACAGCCTCATATGACTCCCATATAAGCGCATGTATAGCCACTCCCTTAAGCATTAAGCCCCAAGGACAATGTGGTTCTGGTCTGCATCAAATAATCTTAGGGACAAAGCATCGAGTCTTGAACACAAAGGCAGAGGTTTGGTCAAACTAGAGACAACATTCAGGTTTCAGTTGTGTTTCAGCTTCAGGCCCAGAAAGGCAGCAAAATCAGATGAAGTTGTGCCATGCCTGACATCAAGACCAGCTGCAACGACCAATAACTTTCCCCACCCCAGGGCCAACCAATCAGCAGAGGCTACAACTCTGAAAGGGCAGACCTGAAAGGCTGGTGAATATTGTACCGAGATCCTCCCCTGAGACCTCCAGACAAAAATCCTTAAGACAAAGGACCCGGTGTGCACTCATGCGCTCGCTCTGTCTCTCTGAAACACCCACGCTTTCCCCAACCCCTTCTTGCCACAGATGTGTTCTCTCTGGAGCACGTTTGTGCCTTTTTTCCTAATCTTCCCCCAGGAGTGTTTTCTTTGCCTTTCTTTCTTCTAAGCTCCAGGGGCCCTTCTTCCGCCTCTATGACTTGTTTCTTGAGCTCCCACAGCCCAGCTGGCTCCCTTCTTCTACCTCTGTGACTTTCTAAATAAACAGTTGCTTGCATTTCAGTTATGGCTCTGAAGTCTTTCTTAGCCAACACTCAAGGACTGAGTTATAACATCCGGTATCATTCGCCATTAACATCTCAGTTTAGCTTCTTCTGTAAATCCTTGGATATAAGACTTCTCTATTCAGCTAGTCTTCAGTTGGGTATTCAGGTTGATTCTTCTACATCTTAGTTGTAACTCCGGTTTGGTCCTGGGAGGAAGTGAGTATAATATCCACCTAATCCACTACAGTCTCGGATCTCTTCATACCGCTATTATTGATAGCACACAGAGCACTTTTCTGGTCCTCAAAATAATCCTGTGACTTGTCAGAGAAGATGTTATCTCCACTTGACAGACGAAGAAACTGAGGTGTGTGAATATGCTAGGTCATAGAGTTTTAAAATCTCAGAGCTGGAACTATTATTACCTCTCATTAATTTATTTATCACCAGAATCCAGCATTTAGTGAATACTTAGGAAGTGTGTAGCAAATGAGGTAATCTGATATTTCTGGTTCCTAGCATCTAGTGTTCCTTTTATTAGCAGCTCTACTAATTCTTCAATTGCTAGGATAGGTTTGCAGCCGAGTCAAATAAAATTACTAACCCCAAAGCAACAATGTTGCTTAATTGATCCAATTTAGGTTACTTAGTTGATGCAGCCAGACCTGCTGGGTTGGAAACATAAATGGAATTTTTTCTAGCTCATTATCTTTTCACTTAAACACTTTACAGGAATATATGTAAAATAACCTTATGGGATAGAATAATAAGAAAAAACCCTATACACAAGTATATATTAATGTAATTAACATAAAGTAAATACTCAAATTTTGTTGAAATTATGACATTGTTTGTAAATAATCAAAAACTGCTTACCTGTGGTGCAAGAAGAGGTAGCCTAATATAAGCCAAAAGTTTGCTGAGATCTTTCCGTCTCTGTTCCAGATCATGGCGGACCCAGGTAAGAAGGGCGTTCAGTATCGTCTCTTCATTGGGAATGTTCATGTCATCACTGGCCAAGAGCTTTGCAATCTCACTGGCTGGTAATAATACAAATTCCTGGTTTCGAATTACTTCCATGAAATGTTCCTACAGAGGAAATAAATATCATATAAACAATACTGTTTTTTTTTCTGTCCATCGGTTTATTTAAAGGAAACTAAACATTTCTGAAGTAGATGCCAAAACCCAGTTTATACTTTATAACTTCCTTACAATTTATTACTGCTTGCTAGGAAAGAAACACAGTAGGAAAACACATTTAAACTACAGCCATGTTGTTAAACTTTTTATTTCTATATTAAGTAGAATTAAAGTGTTGTATCATTTATTACATTTTAAAAATGGACATGGGACTTTTAGGTATTACTTTGTTCAAGTTAATTTTCACATGCTTTTCAGAGGAAGATTAAAAAAATAGACACTGAGATGGATGATGCTGTAACATTAAAAGCTAGTTTAGATTGGTGGTTGCTGTAGAATTGGGCCAACAGTGGAGCCAAAGACCTGGGTGAGCTGTGCAGCTACTTCTCTTACTTGGAAATGGCCTCCATGTGGGCTGGATTTCCCAGGACCATTCTGGACCACTCAAGTCATCTCAGACTCCGCTCCGGGAAGGGTATGTGTCCTCAGGGCTATCCTAAAACCAAACTGGCCCTTAAGAGTGTTTTAATATTTTTCAGATCACACAGGATTTTAGGTCTGTTTTGAAAACTTTTATTTCCTCTGATTTATGCACAAAGTTCTATTGGTCTCATAGGAAAATAAGGGCCAAAATAAAAGTGGTGACCTAGAATGCAGTGGGACTCCAGGACCTTACACTGAAGGTAATTCAGTACTGGCCACATACTAGAATCGTGCAACTTTAATTTGAAATGAGAAATAGAAATGCCCTTCGATGTGAAAGAGTGACTTTTCCTAGGCTTTTATGCTAAGCAATCTAAAGAGAAGGGAAATTTACTCTCTGCTGTACAAGATTACAAGTCTTAATGCATGGATTGATTACACAGTTATAATATAAATGCACATGCTAGACATATTGTCCCTTAATGTTTTTCTTACTCTCCTTACTGTGCTGTGACTGTCTCAGCATGCAGAGTTATGGGAAAGCAGCTAAGGCTATTTAAATTTGAGCTCCAGAGAAGGGTTGTCAGTACTATCTTCTATATTAAAATGAGAATTATATTTTCCATATAGCCTGAAGTAACCCTAGTTAGGTAGTAAGCTAAAATATATCTTGGGCTGACATTCTTTTCTGTAGAAATTCTTAAGAGGAAAACTATACATGAATAATTAACTAAATTCAATTGCTTCGATTCATCATGATTTGTTAAAGATGCCAAAATGAGTCTGTTTTAAATGACTGATTATCCTTTTCAGAACTATATTTTAATAAAACCTCAGCGCTGGAATGGCTTCAAGCAAACTGTTCTGTGCCATTTATTGCACACTGACATTCTGAAATGATTTGGTAACGCAGAGCAAGAGCTATAAAAATGCTGACACTCTCAACCCAGGTATCCCACAAGTAGTTTAATCCTTAATAAATAATTCACAAGAGGATAAAAAAGAGCTGATGTTTTTTTAATGATACTTATCTGCATTATTATTTCTAATAGTAAAAAATGAGAAATAGCCTAAATATCCAGCTATAGGGGGTTGTAACTCAATGGACTATTAAGTAGACCTTACAAATTTAAAGAACAAAGATCCTATAGGTACATGGAAAAACGTTTATCCTAAAATGTTAGGTGAGATTCTGAAGAAATGGAATGTACATTTCTAATTGCTCAGAGGTATAGCATACAGCATAGTCAACATTTATACAACACAGACGTAACTATTGCCATACTTCCATATGGTATTAATTGCATTTCATCAATGAGAAAAACCTATTATATAAATATTCATTCGACTATTTATGTGTTGATATAGCTATTTCAGGACAGTGCCCCTTCCATTCTAGTATAATCTGCATTTAGTAAACATTCAGTTTTTTAAAACAACTTATGGAAATACTACTGAATTTAAGGTTAAACGCAAAGTGCTTTTCCAAAGTATTTGGTTTTAAAGCAGGTATTTTAGCAGAATTCAATGTTTTTATAGGTTTTCTAGATCATGAAACAAAATCTTAAGTTTAAAAATTAAATGCTTATACTTATAAATCCCTAAGGACAGTAAGTATCTGTAACGACGTGACTAGTCTCAGACACTTCCGCAGAGGTTTAAGGACTCGCCCCAGGTTTCCTTCAGTGGCGGTCAGAGCAGGAACTGAAGCTTCCAGATTTCAGGATTACCGGAAGGAACTCCTCCTCCTTTCCCACTGGTATTCACTCGGGATCAGTGAACATCTCAAGTATACGCAGGGCTTCCTGATTGGGACAGCTGAGCGGAATTAGGCTTACTTCACGTTCTGAATCCACTCGGTGACGCCAACAGCTGTCGCGCTACCAAGCGCTTGCTAGCATTATGCCCTTTTCCCCTTTGGAACAGTTTTCAAGCAAATGAAATTACTGAGGGATTTATTTAAATTGAAGATTGAATTCCATTATACATTTTCATTCAGTTCCCATAGCAACAATTCAAATCACACAATCTACCTCTAAATTACTTATTGTTATTAGAATTCAATTTTATGTCTCTGTTGCAACTGAATAATGTCAAACAATGGCTTGAGATAAAAAAACTACAACCCATTGGCTACCAAAAGAGCTTTAAAAACATGAAGCTAATTTAAATTTATGTCTAAGTCTTAAAAAAGCAGTGCCTCTACCGTAAACAACAGGAATGACCTAAATGCATACAAATGTTTCCATATAAATAAAACTCCTTCCTAAGGAAAGAGATATTACTTACATTATGAACTGGTAATAAAGGTAAGAAATATCTAGTTTATTTTATACATATTCATGTTATTCTAAAAAGTATTTGACTTTGAAATGAGAACTCTGCAGGGTTAAAATGAGAATTCTGTGAGGAAGAATAAACAGAGAGGGGGAAAAGTCTTTCAAAGGACTTAATTTAAAGGATGTGCCTTGACCAGTGTAGCTCAGTCAACTGAGCGCAGACCTATGAACCAAAAGGTCACCAGTTCAATTCCCAGTCAGGGCACACGCCTGGGTTGGGTCCCCAGTGGGGGACATGTGAGAGGCAACCACACATTGATGTTTCTCTCCCTGTCTTTCTCCTTCCCTTCCCCCTCTCTAAAAATAAATAAATAAAATCTTAAAAAAAAAAAAAAGAAAGGATGTTAACCTACTACTGCGTTAGGTCTGTATAGTACTGTCCTGTCCTACACTCTCTTATTTTTTCACTTGAAGCACTGGGACCATCACAAACAAGAATATTTCTGAAAAACAATTACACCACAGGGAGAAAAACGAATCATAAAGGTTGTGCTTTTGTATGAGTACTTTTGTTCCTTCTCATGAATCTCTAACGTGAAGAGACTAAATCTATACAATGATGATGACAATGATGTGGTTAATTGGCTGGGTAAGCTGTGTGTTGAGCACTGTTTCAAGTGCTAAACTTCTATTAAACTCATTTAATCCTCATATTAAGCTTAGGAAGTAGGTAGAATTAATCTTCCCAATAGTTGTAAATATCTACTCTTATAAGTTTTCCAGATCTCTATTTCTCTACTGAAAGGTTCCTAAGTACGTGTCAGAAGGTTGGGGGATGGAGAGGAGGGCAGACAAAACCATCTAAAGGCAGATAAAATTAGTAAACGGAGAACTGTACATGTGTATGTGAATGTTGACATTCATTCTTCCCTTAGGTGCTGTATTGCTTTAACTGAAGCATTTAAAGCAAGAGTCTTCAATCACTGTTCGGAAGTATAGATGCGTGTGTGGACAGATGGTTATTCCTTAAAAATCCACACACCTTCCCTTCCCCAAATCCCTCTGCTATTAAGACCATGGAGGTTGGTCCTAACCATAGGCCCTCAACGTGCCCTTGTTTTCTTGTTGTCCTAAATCCATCAGTACCCATCATCCTCCAGGCTTCTGAATCAGACCCCGCTCTGTGATTTATTTTGAGCATACATTTGCTGTAATTAATAACAACATCTTTCTATATACCTAAAAGCACTTCTTACATAAGAGGTTTATCTGTGATAAATAGCCTCCCCTTCAGTCGCCTGTACTCTGCTCTAGTGCTGCATTAATACTCTACGATCATAATCACCAACTTCCGCAGTGAATAAGGGGACAATTCTGAAACTCATCCATGTGCTACAGAGTAAAAGGTTTGCTGGAAATTCTGCTTTAAAAACATCAGATCTGAAAGTCTTAAGTGAAACAGTCCTAGGCCACTATTCTTAGTGACTGTAAGGCCTGACTCATATATCCAGGAGATACATTACTTGGTGCTTTTCCCTCATAACTCAATGACATAGAACACGCTGGACAGTGACCCCCAGCCTCAAGACGTGTGGCAGAGCCATGGGGAAACAGCAACACGTAGATAAGCCCGCAATGATAAAGAATAAGACAAAGAACATATGCTTTCCTGCTTTTCAAGAAATACATACCATAGTATAATTGTGAGCCACTTTATGCAAATCTGTACAACCTTGGGCATCAGCAAAAGAACGGATTCCAAGGCAGTTGGATGGGTGAAGCTGTTTCATCAGGAACTTACAGCACGCTTCCACAACCTGTGAGAGCTGGAGAAGGCAGGCCGTGGACAGCAGGCACTCAATGTTGTCTTCTTTTAACTCGAGGCGGCCTTAATGATAAAAGGAAATTCCGTTAACTGTGGAATTATGTTAACCTCAGTTTATAAACTAATTGGTGTTAGTAGTAATAATTCTAAATAATAACCCATTATATGCATTTCAGATGTAGATGATTTAATATATTCTAAGAAGAAAAATAGTACTAACTACAAAAAGTTCACTGCTTGTTACTCCTGCTACAATAAAAAACTAATAGCTCATTTTCAGGATTTTTAAAGGATGATTTAATTAGTAAAATATCTATTTTACATACTTCAAATTAAATGCAATAATTTAAACACACATAATTGATTTCATAATTATATTAACATTTTAAAATATCATTCAACAGCTTAATTATAATAACCATTTTATAGGTTCCAATATACAGATCTTAACTTAAACAGGTATCACCAAGGGTGGTGATTATAATAGCAGAATTAACTGTTAACTATTACAGGCTTTATTAAAAGCAGAAATCTGAAATCTCATAATACAACATAAACCTAAGAGATTTTAAATTTTCATTACCTGTATATGCATACTGAATCAGGGACCATAGCGAATTCGGTTCTACACCTTCCATTTTTATTTCTTCCTGTCTTGCTTCCCTAACGTCATTAGTAAACATGGCAGCAAAATAATCTGAGACAGAGGAGAGCACCAATCTGAGAACATTAGAAAAAAAGAAAAATCCATGACCACACTACAGTTGATGTTCATTAATAAATGCTACTTTTACACAGTTCTGTATTTGTAAACTAATTTATAATGTGAACTGAGACAAAAAAAAATGTCTCTCCAAGAGAGGACACTGGGTGCTGAGAATCACAGGAAACACACTCTAAGTGTGTTAAAAAAAAAAATCCTGCTTTTGCTTTTCTCTCTCTCCAACTTTGTTACCCATAAAAAGTGCATGGTAGTGGGAAATGCATTTTAAGTCTGACAAATTGCTTTATGCTCTAGTTCCTCCCTTTGAATAATAAATTATCATTACTGAAAATTTTCTGCTGAGGTAGATGATTTATTCTTTCATTACTCAAATATCAATTTCTAACATCTAGGGAAAGAAAAGCTACAAGCCCACAGCATTAAACTGACTATCTATATAAAAGGGGGGAAATATAAAGGTTGTTTTCTGTTTGTCACTTTGAAAATAATCTGTTTTTTAATCACTACTTGTAATAATCATACAAGTAGTGAATATATGGGAGATATTTGAAAACGGTTTTAGCAAGTTATTTTGAACTTTTATGATATTTATTATTGTAGCATATATTTTGTTATAAAGTTACAATATTTTGTTATAATACTACAAAACTATAACATTTTGTTATAATACAACAGTCTATATTAGCTATGTTTCTAGATTTTTGGATAGTTACATATAAGTAAAATAGGCTATAAATAGATATTTTTAAAACATGCATTTTTTCATTTCATGTTTTGAAGATACTTCCATGTCAGCACATTTATACAGACTTACTTTATTCATATTTTTAGAGAAATAGAGATTATGATACAAATAATGGTTGAAATTCCCTGGGTTCCTCTCTAATTCCATTCTCCTTCTTCCCCAACAGCACGATGCTGAGTCCTGAGGTTTGCAAATTGCTCTCTAAAGTGCTGTGCCTACTTAGATGCCTGCCAGAATTGTGTAAGAGTTAATTTAATATTTCCCCAGAATACTGTCAGGTGTTATAAGTGTTGGCCATCTGCAGGGTATCAAATGGCATCTCACTGTTTAAATCACCTGACTGCTAGTGAGGTTGAAGATCTTTTCAAATGTTTATGGTCATCCAGTTTTCTTCTTCCTCGAATTGCCTAGTCATTCATTTATCCACTGAACAAATGCTAATGCATATCTGTAAGTAATGGGTACTATTCTAGATACTTAAGATATTATTGGTGCAAAAACATAGACAAAAGATCCCTTCTCTCACTGAGCCTTACACTGTAGAGAAGGGAGGCTCCAGAAGGCAGACAAGCACTATACAGCAGAAATAAACTCTACAGTACCTTAAAAGTGACTTAGTTCCATGGGGGAAAAGAGTCCGGCAAAGGCATATGGGGAGTGGGAGGTGGGTTTAAATAGATGGTTTCACTGGAAGGTGACAATTGGGTAAAGAAGTGAAGGAGGCGGAGGAATTAGTCATGCAGGAATCCGGGAATAGCATTCGGGCAGAAGAGCAGCCAGTGCAAAACTCCAAAGGCAGGGGCAGCGTGCGTGGCACACACAAGGAACAGTAAGGGGTCTGTGTGGCTCAGGGTGAGCAAGGAGAGCAGCGGGACAGAACACTACGGAGGGAATGACAGGAGGCATCACACCGCCACTGTGAGGGCTTGGGCTTTCACACCCAGTGACATGAGGGGTCGCTGAAGAGTTTGATCAGAGGAGCGACCGAATCTGAGTTCGTTTTCAAGGATCACTCGGGTACTGTGTGGATAACAGGATGTCAGGGAAAGGAAGCAAAGGAAGGAGACTGGTCAGGAGTTTCTCGCACTAGTAACCTAAGTGGCGTGGTGATGCTTACGTGCGCGCGACAGGAAAGGCAGTGAGTTCTGTTTTGGAAGTACAGAACTGGAGACGCCTCTACGAAATTCAGGTTGAAATATCTTTTATAATAAATGGATGCTCATAATATGGACTTTTTGTCACAATATGTAATAGCATCTCATGCTAATTAAGTTACTGAAAACTGTAAGACCAAGGCCATTCTTCCTGATTTTACTTCTACTTTGGAGACTGTAACAAAACCTTTGGGACAGAGTGTTAATTAATTTTGAAAGGCGTAACAAAACCTTTGGGATCATAATGGTGATTAACACTGAACATTGAATGTGGAATTGTCAGAAGTAAAATAATGTCTTGTTTTTTATTAAACAGCTCTTCTTTCCTTTTCTTGTGTCAAGAAATAATACTTCATTTGTGCTTAAAGGCCTTCGTTCCCTGACACCACTGCTTTTCATATTTCTTGGGGGTCAGCAAACAGAAGTTGAGAAAACTGTGGTTATTTAAAACCTAGGCCCAGCAATACTGAATGGTCTGAAGCTAGTGTGTTATGTTTGCAGCTCTACGGAGGAAAAGTGACCCTTTTGCGGTCACTGAATGTGTAATAATTTCATATGTACTATTTTCTTTGCAGAAATTCCATGAAATATACCCTTTCCTCAAAAACATTCTGTCCTAACAATCAACTGGAAAAAGTTACCTCAAATATACATAACTAAATTATCAAGGAAATATTTCACACATACAGAAATTTGGAAAATAGTTACCGATGAGCTGGAATTCTGCGATCACCAGCAACTAGAATTACATCACACAACTGTTTATGTCTCAAATAGTTTTCCATCTTTTTAAAGGTTTGCTCAGCATGATTAAGGGCTTGGAAAAATTCATCTGATGAACATGGCTCCATAGTATGGCAGGATGATAATGTCTGACTGCTATTGGAAGTCCTGAAAGAAAAGAGAACACACATTTTGATGTATCACTGCTACATTAAAAAGATCTTTCCAACCAAGTCCCTCTCAAGCCTTCAAATGTAATAGGAGTAATCAGTGCTACCAGCCAATATTAATGTAGAATGAGTCATCATTTTGTCTTTTAAAATCAATGATGGCTCAAATCATATGTGTGTCTTACAAACACTATGAATGAATGTGACATCTGTTAGTTAATAGTGACACATATTCTTTATAGTGTCTGCTTTTGAGGTCTCTTCTCTGGTCAACGCAACATCTCTGCTGAAAAAGAGCCAAGCTGTAGTCATATTAATAACCATATTGCCCAACAGTATATTTAATTGTGTAAGAGGTCATTTTTGGAAGACAGAAAGGCAGATATAAATCCAAGTCATCCTTTACTTAAAAATGGGTTAGGTTCCACACTTACGTACAAGGCATTGAAAATATGAAATATGCTGTCATTAAAAAACTGTGTTATAGCTAATTCATTTCATTCTCTGGTCAGTCTTCAAAAGCCCAGATAAACTATAACTTATAGGTTAAAGGTCTTTGATGGCCTAATCAACAAATTATTTGAAATGGACAAATTATAACTTGAAAAGTATGAGTTCTGTCTTTATATGATTTACTGGTAGTGAAAAATTAAAAAAATTAGGATTAAGAATGAAATCATAAACTCACTACCCTCCCCCTTCCCTCCAAGACCTTTTCTCCAAGATCACTTGAATTAAGTAATCAACATCTGTTGGCTATGCAACGAACTATAAAACTACCAACTGTGCCATAACTTAGTTCTCATTTCTCACCAGATTCACTTTTAAGAATATTATGATTCTGACAAACGCTTTGTTCAGTCAAGCCTCACTCCATCTTAAGAGAGTTTTCTTAATGTAAACATCTAATAACCTTACAAAAAGAAGTCATCGGATCGTTTACTTTTAAAGTAAAGGGAACAGAAGCGAAGGAGACTAACAGCTTGCCAGGAGTCACAGAGTTCATTCACAGCAGAACTAGGGCTGTTGTAGAGACTGCTGTGTGTTCACCAAAACAGCTTTTCCTTTTCCTCCTGGGAATACAGCTAGACTCTATTTCCCAGCGTTTCTCGCCGAGAGATGTGGTCTTATGGTGGAATGCACTGCATCATCTCACGGCTACAGTGGCTAAGAGCAGGTATACCTTTTCCATTCTTTCCTTCTGTATTCCTGAGTTGAATGGAGAGGAATGAGGACTCAGATGAAGGAAGAGGTAAAATACACACGTGGAAGGTCACTCAAGTAAGCGCACTCACACGGACTGTACTCACGAGAACTCTCACAGAGCACTGAGATGTATCAGTTTTGGAAGTTAGTAGTGCCTTGACTAATGCATATCTCTACCTAACTGCTCACAGTGCACTGCATTTTCAGTGCCAAACAAAAGCAGGCCTGAAAAAATGTTCTTGGAGAATAACTGTCAATAATGAAAATAGAAGCACAACATATATGATCTAGAAAGGATTCACTGCATACTATGAGTATTACTAATGTAATGACTTGGAAAGTCCAGTATAATATGCTTAACTTTACATTTAAGATCATTAACATAAACATGTGTTGAGTAATGTATGACTATATGTTGCTTATATATAAAAATGAAGATTAGAAACCACTTTAAAATCTAGCAGAAAACATAAGCAAAAAAATAATAGTGGTGGCTTTGATGAATAACAATTTGAAGATTTAAAATACTTTTCTAATAACACAAAGTTTTATACTGTCAAAATACTGAGAAATGATTGTAAGAGTATTAATAATCTAAGGATTAGAGAAAATTAGAACATCTAATTCTCATAAGCTACAAACTCCTTCAAGGACAAGGCAAAGTGAAGTAAATAAATCAAGTATGGTACTTCTTTCCTAGGTTTCTATATTTTGCATCACATTTCTTATACTTTGTATTAAATTCTCAGTAATAACTAGAAAATGAGTTAGTTGAATATTTTTTGAGTGAAGTGCGATCATCAAACATAAATGCTAATCAATGTTAAGTTCTAAAAAAGCAACAGCATTTTTATAATACTACCCTCACTGAGTTTTTACAGACCAGCTTTCGTGTTAGTATAAGCCTAATTAATACACAGGCCATCCCTTTTCTCATTAAGAATACTCAGGGTGTTGGTTCTTCAACCTCCGGCATGAATCAGGATAACCAGGGGAGCGTTTCCGCACCTGTGTTCAGAGCCTCATTCTTGAAAACTGATTTACTAGGCCTACCTAAGGTGAGACCTAAACATCATATTTTTTAAAAGCCCTAAAGGTGATCCCAATGTCACAGGCTAAAGACCACTGATGTGCACATTAGGTAAAAGACACATCACACACATCAGCATGTGAGGAGCTTACATGTTCAAAACACTGATTAACACAATAGATACTTCAAACATGTGTAAAGTGAATTTCTTTGAACAAAGTATTTCAAATGAACTACTAGAAATTAATGGAATATTTGTTATTTTCAAAATGAACAGAGAGGTAAAACATCAAATCACTTATGTATATAACACATTAACAAAACAACAATTCATGAATCTAAAATGTTTCAAATTTTGTTATTTGCTTTCAAGGTTTCAGCTGCCTTCACACGTTCAATAAACATATTATTTCAATGCGACAATTAATTCACTGAGATCTCTGGATACAGCAATCACTATCACTCCTCCAAATGAAGGACCAAAGAAGTGTAGCCTTCTGATTTGTATCCTATGAAAAAGTAAAGCCGTTTGTTCACGAAAGGAGCATGAAAGAGGAAGGAACAGGTCTGGGTACCTGATAGATTTAAGAGCTGCACAGCTTTCTAGAGTTTCTTGGTTTGTTATTAAAAAATGGGGGCCTTGCATATACATTTTAACAATGTAAAAATTTACTAAGAAATAATTTAGTGCACATACATACAACTGTAGGACCTTAGGCACTTGGATCATTACATAGAGAATTTTTACGTCTAGAGCACAGGTGGCAAACACAAGGCCTGTGGGCTGAATCTGGCTCTCTACCTTGTTTTATCCGGCCGGGCACCTTGTTTCTACCCAGTGGTAGCACTGAGCTCTCGCTTAACTGCTAAGGAGTAGTTACACGTATACAGTCCTAAAATTACATTTGGCCCTTTGAAGGCAACCACAAGGCTGATGTGGCCCCTGGTGAAAATGAGTTTGACACCTGTGATCTAGAAGGAACCCATGCAATCATCTAATTCAATTCCCTTATTTTGCAGATGAGAAAATCTGAGGCCCCGAGTGGGCCAAGATGACCAAGGACACATGAGCAGCTGGTCACAAAGCCAGAATGAGGAGGCATTCAGAGTACTGGCCAACTGACCACTCACAAAGGAATAGAAATTCTTGCTTAAGTTTACCCACAGGCATCAGTGGGGCAAGGGCACGAAGGGCAAATAATGGTACACTATGAATGAGGATAACTGAACAGAAAAAAAGACATTAGAATTAAGGATCTCAGACAAAAGTCTGCTGCTCTGTGACTGCTCCTAAGCTGGGCATGAGAGAGTGAGAGTTGTTTAGGTCTTGGTGGGACACAGGTCAAACTGCTCTGATACTCGAGCTCTGTGGAATTTACTATGGTAACACTTCCGGTTTCTTTTTCTTCTGTGCTTTGGACTGGGTTGAATTGGATAGGTATGATGTAGTAATTAAGAGCATTTTAGGAAGGTTCTAGAACTGTGTTAATACATTAGCCACTAGCCCCGTGAGGCTATTTTAATTTAAGTAAAATTAACTAAAATAAAAAATTCAGTTCTTTAGTTGGACTAGTCATGTTTCAAATGCTCGACAGTCTCATGGGGCTGTTGGCTGCCAGACTGGACGGTGCAGAGATGGAACATTTCTATCGATGCAGAAAGCTCCATTGTAAAGTGCATATTCAGATTCCCTGTCACTGGGTGTCACTCTGTGGAAGTTCTTTTATTCCTTTAAGCCTTATCTTTTTCAATAGCAGAACAGGAATAAGTAATACATAGTACTTTCTTTCAAAGGATACCTCACTGGAGGATTAGTAAATGAAATAATGAATGCACAGCCTTAGCACAAAATAAGTAAGCTACTGTTAGTAGAACTGCGCTTTTTATGGCCAATGAAAAGGTTGATTCTTACATGTGCCCTGACTGGGGATCGAACCCACAACCTTGGTAAATTGGGACAATACTCCAACCAACTGAGATACCTAGCCAGGGCTGGTTGGTTGTCTGTTTAAAAAATGATTCTAGTGTTATCAATTTTTATAACTAAGGTTCATACTTTCTAGTTAAAACGGCCTTCCTAATTAAAGTAGCAAACTCAGCAGACATCCTAACCCACAATACAAACATCTGGGGACAGGCCATTTATGAAGCATTGAAAATATATTTCTCTGTGATTTCTATAAATAGCAGATGAGATTTGAAGTATGTCTTAGAATTCAGATGAGTGAGGAGGAGAAGAGGAGTTGGGACTGTCCCTGTAAGGGGAGGACAAGGCAGCTGCGTAAAGAGAAAGGACAAGATGCAAAGAAAAATACTACCATCACCTTTTTCCTTCTCAAGACAAATATTTTCTGATTTTGGAATTTAATAGGCTTTTTTCCCTCCCCTGGTCCTGTGTCCAGAATCTGTGGTGAAGAGAATGAAATGTTGTTTATAAGAATCAAATGTTCTTTTTTTTTAAAGATTTTATTTATTTATTTTTTAGAGAGGGAAGAGGGGAGAGAGAGAGAGAGAGAGAGAGACAGAGAGAGAGAGAGAAACATCAGTGTGTGGTTGCTGGGGGCCATGGCCTGCAACCTAGGCATGTGCCCTGACTGGGAATCGAACCTGTGATGCCTGGTTCGGAGCCCGTACTCAATCCACTGAGCTATGCCAGCCAGGGCAAGAATCAAATGTTCCTAATAATAACCAGAGTGAAGGGGAAGGGCCAGTGGACACTCTCATACAATACTGGTGAGAATTAAAATAGCAGTGATATTCCT